GACTTTATTCCTTGGTTATACTTCCTTTTGAGTGTTTAAGGCCATACAGCTGGTCCAAATAAACCAATTTATCTTTACTCTTAAGGTCATTTGAGGATCTGTTTCTCAGGGGTCACATGGGCTTGGGAGCTCTTGGCTCCTTTCTTTTACCAGTTCCATCTATGAACCCAAGTTTTCTGTAGCACTTTTTAACATACTCATATGATTTAGTAACTTCTCAACAATATAAACTGATAGAGCAAATACTGACATCAATTCCAGTTGTACATGGTTCTATTAAATTAGTGGTGTTTAATCAAAGTTTAACATGAAGTTGTGCATGGCAATACACACCTATAATTCCAGCATGTGGGAGGAAGAAGCAGAAGGACCAATGCAATTTAAAGGCCAGCCTGAGCTACATAGCAAGACTCTGTACCCCCTAGTGAAATTAATGTTAATATTTTATTAAGTTAAAAATGATAATTCCAATATTAAAAGATTAATGAGTTTACCTTCTCCAAAATAATCAGGACATATTCTATATTTGTAATATATTTCCATTCAGACTGACCACATTTCTAGTACTTAGCTGCCATACAAACATTAAACAGTACAGCTGAATAATTATAAATTAATTATATTTAAGATAAAGGCTATGAGCCAGGCGGATCACTGTGAGCTCAAGGCCAGCCTGGTCTACATAGCAAGTTCCAAGCTAGGTGGGGCTACAGGCAAACCCAGTCTTAAAAAAAGACCAAAATCTAAAAAAAAGTTACTTATAATTTTTAGGATTTCATTAAAGACTAATGAATCCCTATGAGCAACTTTAATGATGAAATTCTTATAGATGTTTCTTGTAGTTTTTAAAAACCTTTATGTATGTAAATGTTTTGCCTGTATGTATAGATGTGGACCACATGCATGCCTAGTGCCCAGAGTTCAAAAGAGGCTGTCATATCCCCTGGAACTGGAATTACAGATGTTTGTAACCCACCACATGGATGCTGGGAATTGAATCCAGACCCTCTGCAAGAGCAGCAGGTGCTCTTAACTGTTGAGCCAGCACTCCAGCCCCTAAAGTCTCTGTTTTCTGATGTTTGATTGAGGCCAGGCCTGACTATGTATCTTAGGCCGGACTAGAACTCACTATACAACCTTGCTAGAATTCTTGATCTGTCTGTCTTAGCCTCTCAAGTGCTCAGACTGAAGGTGTGACTGAAGTCCACCACACTGGACTAAAAATATTATTTTATACATTTGCATGCTATTAATGTTTGGCTTGCCTATAGACAGAAAAGAATCTGGATTTGGTCCTTAAAATATCATCTCATCACATGAGGACGGCATAATTACTCTGATGTGCAAATGACATTATATTCCTAGATTCTAGAGTTTATTCATTTCAATGCAACCAAAATGTACTAAGGATTATTATTTCATGATTTTTGTGTGTATGTGGGTAGGTACCACAATGTCACAGCACGAATGTGAAAGGTCAGAGGACAACTTTCGAGAGTTGGTTCTTTCCTTCCACCATAAGGGTTTTGGGGGTTGAACTGAGTTCATCAGGCTTGGTGGCAAGCACCTTTACCCACTAAGCTATCTTGATAGCCCAGGATTACATTTTCGTTTTTTGTGCAGCCAGTGCTCTTACCCACAGAGCCACCTCTTCAGCCCCTTTGTTTTTCTGAGACAAGGACTCCTTATAGCCTAAGCAGCTTGAACTATGTACACCAGACCCCAATCTTACAGATTCACCTGCCTCTGCCTCTGGAGTGCTAGGATTAAAGATATGCACCATCATGGCCAGCCAGGATTATTTATTATTTCAGTGAATTTAAGAACTAAAATATAGGTGTGGTAGCATAGGCCTGTAGTCCTAGCACTTGGGTGGCAGAGGCAGGTGGATGTCTGTGAGTTCAAGGCCAGCCTGGTCTACATAGTGAGTTCCAGGCCAGCTGGAGCTACAGGGAGACCCTGTTTCAGAAATACCAAAATAAATAAATAAATAAAAGAACTAAAATATGTAATTTTATTTTAGTTATTATTTATTTGAGATAGGATTCCATGTAGACCAGGTTGGCCTTTGGCCTTGAACTCCTTATCTTCCTACTTCTACTCCAAAATGCTTGGATTACATTTAATACCAGACTTGACTGTGTGATTTACTTTTGAAAGAAAATATTGCTGGGGCTGGAGAAATGGCTCAGTGGTTAAGAGCACTGGCTGCTCTTGCAGAGGACCCAGGTTCAGTTCCCAGCACCCAAATGGTGGCTAAGGACTGTCTATTATGCCAGTTCCAGGAGATCTGACACCCTCTTCTCATGAAAAGCTTATTTTTTCACTTCTGTAAACAGAGAATAAGAAATGAATAGTGACAGGACTCGTAGGTTATAGACAAAGAGATCATTTTATGTTAAAAACAGATTAAAAAGATATGGTTTTGTAATATATAATAGTTGTAGTATAAATCAAAATGAAAGAAACCAGATCAGAGAAAAGAAAACATTTACAAGGTTACCTTAATAATATAGTTCTCTTGCATACCAGTCATTGAAAGATCATTCATTCTAGGGGCTGGAGAGATGCTCAGTGGTAAAGTCAGCCCTGGGACCAATATGGAGAAGACAGAAAAATCCTGCAAGTTCTTTTCTGACCTCCACCAACATATGAAGACCCCCCTCCAGCAAATTAATAAGTATGTAAAAAAATTACCCATCTTATAACAATTTAAGAAATTTGCAGAGGATATACAACATATTCATTTTGCAGTGCTGGGGACTGAACCTGGGGTGTAGATGCTCTCTAGTATTGACCAAATCTCCAGCCCCCTTTTTTTTTTTTTTTAATTTTTTCATTTATTATTTTATGTGTGTAAGTATTGCCTGCATGTAGGTAAGTGCACCTGTGTCGTGCAATGCCCACGGAAGACAGAAGAGGCTTTCTGATCCCCTGGAACTGGAGTTACGGACAGTTATTAGCTGCCATGTGGGTACTGAGATTCGAACCTGGGTCTTCTGCAAGAACAGTCAGTGTTTAACCTCTGAGCCAACTCTCCAGTCCCCAGCCCTTCACTTTTTTGAGCTAGGTTCTTGCAACACAGCTCAGACTACCCTTGAACTCCTTAGGAAGCCCAGCCCAGAACTGCTAATCCTCCTGCCTGTCACTAGCATGCTGGGATTAGGGCACACACAGCCAGATTATTTGAGCAGTATGTAGAAAATATTCAATCTCATTAATAACGGGAAATTTCACAGATGGCAACAACTAACTGCATTTTCACCATTCAGATTGGCAAAAGTGAAAGACATTTCAATCCTTACTAATGCTGCTGGCAATGCTCATTTCTATAGCATTTTTGGACTAATTTGGAGACTCTGGCAATTCCTATTCTAGAAATCTATCCTGCATGCATACTAACACACACCAGCAAAAACAGAAGCTTTGACCCTCACTGAAGTATCACTCTGTGCTTTAGGCACCAGAGATTAATACCAGGGCCTGAAACATGATGGGCAACTGTATTGCCATGAAGCTATACCCACAGCTCTTTTTATTTATTCTGAGGCAAAGTCTCTTTGAACTGCTTAGGCTGTCCTTGAACTTGTGATCTTCATGCCTCAGCCTCCCAAGTAGCTGGGATTACAGTATTTTAAAAGTCTAAAGGGTAGAAAACTTGCCTAGCTTGTGTGAGACCTTGGGTTTGATTCTCAGCAGTGGCGCAAAATGAGTAAGAATTACAAATTCAGTGAAATGGAGTTATAAGTATTCTCAGCAGAGGCACAGAGGCAGGTGGATCTCTGTGAGTTCAAGGAGACCCTGTCTCAAAGACAAAAAACAAAACAAAACAAAAAACATTGCCTGGGAGGAAAGCTGCCCCCGCGCCCCCAAGTTGCAAATTGAACCCAGGATCTGTACTATGCATGATCTCTAATGCTGGAAGGTGTTGTCCCCCTTCCCCGACCAAGTATCTGTTTATTTTGAAGGTGTAGGTATGCGATCGGGGAGGAGCATGTTCCATGGTCTGTGGAGGTCGGAGGACAACTTCTGGGAGTGGGTTCTCTCCTTCTATCATATAGGTTTCAGGGATTGAATTTAGGTCAGGCTTTCTAACAAGTACCTTTACCTGCTGAGCCCTCTTGCCAGGTCCCCAGGAGGGCACTCTCTAATAAACTTTCGTTTACTTTTTAATTTCATCTGTATCTACACTAGAATGTAAGCTCCATGAGAAATCTTGCTTCTTTTGTTCACTATTATTTTCCAAGTGCTACAGCAATGTTAAAAGATAGTCTATAATAATTGAGTGCTCATTTTCAAATGACTAAGGTGAGACTTTCTACAGAGATCCACCTGCCTCTGCTGCTGCCTCCTGAGTGCTGAGGGATGCACTATCAGGCCTAGCTAGTATGGCCACTTAATAGGGCATAACAATTACTTACAGATCTTTTGTTATATATATAAAACCTTTCAGAGAGAAAAACAAAGTGACAGGGAACTTGCCCAGGTACTTCCATCTGGCAGTGATCAGCTGCAGCTCTTTCAGCCAGTGAGATGACAGTCTCCCTGTGGCTCACAGAAGTGAAGTTTTCTGACTGTAGGCCTCCCACAGTACGTGGAAAGTGCAAGTCTCCCACTTTTCTGGTCGTAGAACCAAGATATGCTGCCCAAGCAAACAAACCCAGAATACTTTCAGGAGATTCTGAGGCAGACTAAGATGCTACTTCTATACAGGAGCTATAATAGTTCTAGAAATAACGAAAGTATTTGATTCCTGTGGATTTCCTAAATAAAACAACAGACCTTAGTTTTTCTTAGGGTAGATTCAAAGACTCCAGCTGTTCCCCAAGTTCACAGCACCTGGAACATTTTATCTAATCAAAATAAAATATTTATAAAAAAATAAACGAATAAAATACTATACACATCTACAAGTATCAAAAAAAGAAAAAATATCTGAGATGAAATGTTATGTGTATTTTTATTTTTGCAATATGTTGATTTTGTAAATAACAAAGCAATAATGTTCAATGCATTTATTTATGAAATACTTTGAAGTTGACTTACATAATTTCAACCAATAGTGTTCACTTAAAAAAAAAAAAACTGTGGCATACAATGCATTTGTCTTTAGAAAAAAGTCTATTTAGTCCTATTTACAAGTAGGACTAAAGGTATTTCTTTTAATTAAATGGAGAGTTTACAAAAACATTCATTAAATAGTCCTAGCATTCTAAGGATCTGTCAAGCATCCAGGGAAACCCAGAGTTTTAATCATACTCAGAAAATCGAATGTGTTTACTTGCTTGTTGAGTCTTTGCCAGCCTAATCTTCTCACCTTTGGTGATTAACTACAGGAGAAAGAAATCAGAATTTACAATATATTAGACAACCCCTCCCCAATACAAAACCAGTTACTATTATGAAAGTTTCACAGTTATTAGGCTGAATGAAATTTTAAAAAACTGGGAGTAGAGGCCAGATGTGGTGGCACATGCCTTTAATCCCAGCGATTGGGACCTCTGTGAGTTCAAGGCCAGTCTGCTCAACATATTGAGTTCCAGGCCAGCTGGAGCTACAGGGAGACCCTGTGTCAAAAAGGCAAAAAAAACAGATAAACAAACAAACAAAAAAATTGGGGGTAGAAAGAAAAATGAGATCATTATGTTTAGATCAAATCAATTACAGAGAGCTGTTGAGATTATTAAGCAGAATAGACATAAAACCTATGAAACATTTATGACCCTCTATTTAAATTATATTACTTAAAATCTTTCAATTAGAAATAGTCACTCCTCACTGTAACTTTTTAACCTTCTTCCTTCCTTCCCTCCCTTCCTCCTTGGGTTTCACTATATAAGCCCTAGTTAGCCTGGAACTCACTGTGTAGACCAGGGTGGTCTCAAATTCACTATGTAGATCATTCTGGCCTTACAGAGATCTGTCTGTCTCCTAAATGCTGGGATTAAAGGCGTGCAACACCACACCCAGTTTATTAAATGTTTTTACAGAACTAGAATTGTGGTAGCATATGCTGTAATCTCAGCACCTAGATGCCTTAGGCAAGAAGATCATGAATTGGAGGCTAGCATGAGACACTGTTGGGAGATTTTACATAAAAAAAAAAAACCCAAAACCCACTCAAACTATAAGATGTGGAGAGAGGAGTTCAAGATTCCCAATTCAAAGAAATGACAATAGTTTCACTCTACTTCATATACATGTACAATTCTTCTGTGGCAACTAAATTTTCTAAAAAATTTAAAAAAGTTTCCTTGACAGAAAAACATACAACTTAGTTTTCTTTTTCTCTTTAAAATACAGGCTTAGGGCTAGAAAGATGGCTTAGTAGTTAAAAGTGCTGGCTGTTCTTGCAAAGTACCTGGGTTCTGCTCCTAGCACCCACAAAGTTAACTACTGTCTGTAACATCAGTTCCAGGGGATCTGACAGCCTCTTCTGACCTTTGGGCATTGATTGCATGGACACATTCCTACACACATACACAAAAACAGTCACACACACATTAAAAAAGAAACAGGTTCTAGGGCCAAGGATGGAGAAGACTTGGTAGAGTGCTTGTTTGCAGTGTACAAAGCCCTGGGGTTTGATCCCAAAACTGCATAAACCTGGTGTGGTGGTGCATGCCTGCAATTCCAGCACTCAGGAGGTAAAAGCAGGAGGATCAGAAAATGCCAAGATCATCTTCAGCTACAGAGTTTGAGGCTAGCATGAGAACCAGAGACCCTGTCTCAATCAATGAAGTTTAATGTCTATCGGCTTGTACAAAGTGATTATTTGATTAAAACACTGCTCACAGATGATAGTTAAATTTATAGCCGCTTAGAGCCCTAGCATACCAATAATGCTGTTCACAAATAGGAATTCTGCCTGTGGGCAAAAGCACTTGTAGCCAAGCCCAACAACTTGAGTTCCATCCCCCCGACACACATGGTAGGAGAGAACTAATCCTTGAAAGCTCTCTCTCTAATCTCTACAAACAGGCATGCACAGACCCTCTCCACACAAAATAAAAAATGTAGTTAAAAACATTTTTCAGAAATATTAAACAACCAAATGTAGTAAAAAAAAAAAAAAAAGCCCCGTTTTTCTGGGCTAGGAGTGCAACTGGGTGGAAGAAGCACCTTTCTAGTAAGTAATGCCCTGGGCTCGGCTCTGAAGGACTCAGAGCACATAGTCTAGGAAAAAAACCAAATGATTCCTCTCTGGCAGATCTTTCCTTCTTAATCCAGATCTTTTGTGAGTGAATTTCTATGCTGAAAGTAAACACATTATTTTTTTTTTTGTTCCTCTAGTTCAATTTTATAAATATCTAAGGCAATGTTTATTTTCCTGAGATTAAAATGAATCGATAAATTTATAAAATTAAAAGATTACCATTTTAAAAGACATAAACAAGTGAAACTTCACATCAATTAGAATACTACTCAGCAAACTGATCGCAGTTCAGCTATTTTTTTTAGATTACTGACTTTAACATTTGAATAATCTCAAACAGGCTTTGAAATTAACACCTCCAAAACAAGAGGCTTGAGGAAGGAAGGCCGCCTCCCACTCTCAGCAAGATCAATCTCCATTCAAGAAAACAGTATTAACAAAGACAGTAGAAGGCTCCCTATCAATCATTATAAATGCCAATGAATTGCAGGAGGAGCACTGATGAAAACAAACCAACAGGCACAGAACTTCTGAACAAGGACTTCTAAAAGTTCTACCAAATGTGTTCTAAGGAAGTACTTTGAGTGCATAAATCCGTAAAAGAATAATCTGCTTGCAAAAAAACCCCCACTTCATTCTCAGTGAGCAACAAATTATATAACTACAAGTATTTAGTTATCACAAAAATAAAACTGTTATAACCAGTTTTAGTGTATCACTTAAGGTTTTGCATTGCCATTATGCATAAAGCTCCCAACCCTATCTCTGGAGCCTCAGATCTTTATAAACCACAGTTCCATTACATCATGGCTTTATTTTAAAAAAATATTATTTTTAAAAATTATCTTATTTTTATTTTATGTGTATGAGTGTGTTGCCTGCATGTATGTAAATGCACCCGTGTCATGCAATGCCTGCGGAGGTCAGAAGTGTTAGATCCCCTGGAATTGGAGCTACTTAGCTGCCATGTGGGTGCTGGGAATCAAACCCAGGTGCTCTGAAAGAGCAGCCAGTGCTCTGAACTGCTGAGCCATCTCTCCAGTCCCACATCAAGGTTTTCACCGTAAGACAATCTTTCTACAATCACTAATTCCCAAACTACAAAACCCACAGCTCCAAACCAAGACTGTAAATTTAAAATGCACTACTGTTTCAAAAAAAGGCAGGGGGGGGGACCGCTGAACTTAAATTAGGTCTCCTTGTGAGACCAATTATCTTAATCTCACTTATTTTGAAATCAAGAGAAATACGCATTCCCTTTCCTTCTAAAACAGTACTCTGGACAAGTAGCAAAATCAAAGTTATTTTGCCTCACCTGTTACCCACTTTCAGAAGACACACCTGACTCCCAAGAGTGTGGGCACAAAGCAAAGAACAACATTACCTTCTGAGCTGGCATGGTGATGCATTCCGTTAATCCCGGCACTCAGGAGGCAGAAGCAGGGGATCTCCTATGAGTTCCAGCCAGGTGGGCTTATATCTTTATAGCTGGGGATAGAGGGAGACCCTGTCTCAAAACAAAAACCAAAACCAAGAAAACAAAACAAAACGTTACCTTTTTGGCGCCTCTTTTCTTTTCTCGAGGCTGGTTAAGTTTGGCCTGTCTATCTACCAAAATCTTCTGCCAATACCTCTGTTCATGATCACCTTAAAAACAAGTAAGAGCTCTGATCACTGAAAAAAAAAATTTCAACAGAAGTATAATATTTTGAGGGCAAGAATGCTAGTTCCACTGGCCAAATAGAAAACATAAAACAATTACTTACAATAATAATTGTTTATAAAAAATTAAATTTTACCGGAAAGGAGCTCGAGGTTCCAGCAATGTTTCTTTTTAACTTCAGCCTGCACATTCATTACTGCCTGAGCATCCTCAGGAGTTTTAAATCGGGCGTGACATTCTGTATCTCCTTCAAGCAAATCAACATAAACAACTTCTGAGATTGTGGCCAATGTATCCTACATTGGAAATAAGTGTAAAGACTTAATAGCAACACCTAAGATGTTTCATAATAAACCTAATATAATTGCAGTCGTTTGTCAAAATGTTATTATATCAAACATTCCTTCTAAAATATACAGAAATACTCTTAGATGATTTTGACAAAAATGAGAACCAATTTAACAACTCATCATAAATTATTTTCCTTTATTCACTTTGAAGTATATCCTTAAAATCTGAATTAATGTGGGGGATATTCTGTTAAGGACAAAAGATCTGTGGAGTGTAATATTCAAATGAAACCTCCCCACACCAACAATATGGGAGCAGTTAGCACAAGTAATAAGATTAAAAGAAAGATTTTGAGGAAGCTTATGTTCACTCACCTATACAATACCACGTATGACTTACATTTCAACTTTTTATAATAAGTCTTAATAAAAATGTTTTGCCAAACCTACAAAAATCTTAGTGTTCTTGAATAGATCTACTGGAACCTAGCCTAAGAGTTCTCAGTTCTAAGATAAAATACCAAAGTAATCTTTTCTAAGCAGGTCGAGGTCACCCAGCCAGGAAAGTCTTACCTCCAACACCTGCTGTGAGGGCAAATTAAGGAGATTCCTGCATTCTTAATCAATTTTTTTTCTCTCAGCAGGTTTCCCTGAGTATATAATGCATTTATGCAGGAATGTTACACTAATCTTAATTCATCAAGTTTCATTCATAAAGCTAAAGAATGAATACAGATTTCCAGCTAGAAAGAAAAAGTGTTATTTATCTCTCCTCTCTTCAGTTTTGACCCAGATTTTCTAGGTACAATTAACCCAGATTATTCAAAAATACACTGACTTTCTAGATACGTGAATTATGGAAAGAGAAGCAGCATCTGGAAATATTACATTGTTGAATAAGAATAGTTTATTAGTTAATAGTAAATATGCAATAGAAATCCAGGAGTCTTTAGAGGCCAGGAACTAGTCTTAACATATAGCATACCGTCTTTATGTAACAACATTGTTAGTAAATACTGATTGAAAAAAAAAAAAACTACAGGGAACTATTATTTGCTAGTTCTTACTATTCTTTTATCTAGTTGGTGGCACTAAATTTAAATACACAGCAAGAAATCAGACAAATGGATGGAATTTTAATGTATTACGCCTAGTTGGCCTGGAACTTGCTATGTGGACCAGGCTGGCCTTTAGGTAACAGATTGCCTGCCACTGCCAGCAAGTGCTTGGCGGTAAAGGTGTGCAGCACCACACCTGACTAGTAGTGAGGGTTTTATAACCGAGTTTTCAGATAGTTTAGATTCAATTCAAAAGACATTTCGTAAATATCCATTATAAAGTCAGGCTAATCTCCTGATTTAAAACCCCTTTAATGACATATTAGCTTGGTAATCGGATGGGCAGGTCACAAAAGGCAGTGACAAACAACATAGTTCAGTTTTTGTTCCAGAAAAATGTAACTACTAATTTGATTAATGTAATTGTTCTATAATTTTGTTGATCATGAATGAAGTATTTTGTGACTGCTGTATTATTATCAGACAGTAAAACCTTAACATTCTTTTCAAGTTAAAGATAGTGACTGATATAGTTTTTGGAAAATCAAAATAACATAATATATAGTACTAAATGGTCTAAGAAGTTGAAAGTAATGGGATTATAGAACATTTTACGCTGTTTAAAAACAAAGTGCTCTCTAGGCATGTTGGTTCATGTATATAATCCCAGCATTTGGGAGGCTGAAGCAAGAGGATTGCAAGCCTGTGTCAAATAATGAGTTCAGGACAGCCTGGGAAACAAGGTGAGATTCCCCCACCCCAAAGGAAGGAACAATCATTTAAGAACCTTAACAGTTCCAATAAATAAAAATTCATAAATTCACTAGCTTGCTTCAAAAATCACAATGTATCATATGATAATTTTAAAATAATTTCACAAGTATATGGTTAATTATATCTTTAAAATGACACTGTACCTTTCTAAAATTCCCATCATTGAAAATCATGTACTTTATTTCAATTATATAGTTCTTTCTTGACTACACAGCAGCCAACCATTAGTGACACAAAAAAGTATGTTCAAACTGTTTACTGTAAATCTTAATTTTGTGAGGAATTTTGGAATTTAAATTAAACCTACAGGTGAGGCTGGATAAATGGCTCAGCCCTTAAAATAAATAAAATCTTTAATAAAATCCCTACAGGTAGAATAAAAATTCCAATTTAATTTGTTTTCCACATTATATTAAAGACATTTTCCCATAGGGAAATTAAAAGGAAAAAGGAAGCGATACACTGGGGGCTCAGAAGCACAGAAGCATTACCCGGACTTGCTTCCTGCCAGGTAGAGGTTCTCTGCTAATGATCTTCACAATCACTCCATTCACAACCTGAGGGCCTTGTGCATTAACCTTCTCCTGAGCACAGCACTCTTGATGGTTGGCCCCTGATTTGAAAATGAATAGACCAGGAATAAACCTGTCACATTTCACAATTTAACATTTAGGAGGACTGCCCTTGAAAAGCAAAGATTTCTTAGGTTGATTTAAATAATTTAAAACTTGTTTAACATTTATTATTTTAAAATTAATGTGTTTCACACTGCTCATTTTAAATCAACCATGGAATAAAATGCATAAAGTTCTATTACTCTGAATACAAAATGTTACTGTATGCCTTTTCTCCTGAAGCAAATAATAAAATTTAACTTCAATAAGGATATAAGCCAATAAAAATATACTCACACCAATACTATTCAGATGTGAAAGTTTATACTTATACAACTTAGAAGAACTTTAAATATAATACTGATTTGAAAAACCCAGAAGAGGAGTGCTTGAATTTGTTCTGCTAATGCTCCCCTACTCCCCGAAACTGCAGGCAAGAACTTACAGCCTTTATCCTGACACCTAGGTGCTCATGACTAAATCTCACTGGTACCCAGGACAATGAACTTGTTATAAAAGGCTTAATATGAACCCTTCAAGTCATTTTTCTTTTCTTTAAAAAAGGTTTTGTAGTCATAGAGTTGAAAACCAGGGAAAGCTACATCCCCACCTCTGCAAATACTCATTAAAAACAAATTACACATATAAAAATCTATAATCGTGATCTTTACCTTCTTCACCTTTCATTCCAGACTTACTAGGTATTTCACAGTCAGTTTCCATTTCTGACTCCAATTTAATTTGAGATATTGTTTTTTTTAAAGAAGCCATGCTGGCTTTTTGCAGTGCCAAAAACTCTTTTTTCAAATCAATCCACTCAGTCCTATAAAACAAAAATCTGGGTTACTGAAACAGTGACAAGATGACTCAATAAAAGTAAGTTAATCTAAATATACATGTTCAAGGAGACTCCCAAACAATCTTTCCAACTCTCCTCTTTTAAAAGCATACAGTTGAATAACTTTTTAACAAATAAGCAAGGGAGTTCCTTCCACCTTAAACATTCAGATTAAATGTTTAATTTCCCAATTTTTAATTCATAAAATTAAGCTTGTTTTTAGTTACTTCCTTTAAGTAACACTAAAGCAGTCATTTTCGAGGAAAAGTGAGAGATTAAAGATTAAACTGCTTCCAATTTGAAAGATAACATTCCTTAGGGTTTACTTGAATCAAAAGGAATGTCTAAGAAGAAAATAACACCCCATGGAAGCAATTTATTTATTTACATACATTTCACATGTAGATGTTTCTTCAAACACTTAGAGCTTCTCGAGATAGAAGCACAATGCATACCCTGGCTCTGGGGGAGCACTCATTGTTACCCTAATCTGTGCCATCAAACAAGTAAATAAAAGATTTTTTTTTTTTTTAAGAGAAGGATATCTGGTGGTAATGGTTTTCAGCAGTTAACACTGACATCTGTTTACTTCAAAAAAAAAAGCTAGATCTACCCAGGATCCGCAGGATCTACTTTCCCTGAGTGCTGAAACATTAAAATAACAAAGGCTCTTGTAATGATTCTCTCAGATAGAAAGGCAAAAGGAATTCAGGAGTTAAGAACGGTATAAATAGAAGTGTCCGGAAATCTCAGTCTTTCACTCTCCAAGGACAGAACAAGGTTCTTTGGGAAGCAGTCCACAAGGTAAAGGAAATCTCCATGGACTTCATTTCTTCTTCCCCTTGGGTTTTCTTTTCTGTCTTCATAGTAGCCTTGTATTGGAGGACTCCCTTCAACTTTAACATGGGTGTACTTTCTGTGTCTTTAATAGAGTAAGTGCTTCCATGTTTTAGTAGAAGTGAATTCAACTTACTCTTTGGATTCTAGCTAACCACTTCTAACTTAGAGGCAGGAGTCCCCTTTGCTTTAACATGGGAGTACCTGCTGTGTTAAACAAAAGTAAGTGCTTCCATTTTTCAGCAAAGGTGTCTCAAAGCTCTCCAACTGAAATTCATTTAAAGGGAGTTAAATTTGTTGCAGCTGAGCTTCTGCTTTTTGGGCTCCCCACCACTTAAACGTGGATGTGCTTGCTTTGCATATAAAGAGTAAGTGCTTCCATGTTTTGGTGATGGTGAAGTTTTCCTTGCACAGTCCCACACTTTTAAGATAACTGAAACCTGTTTTAAGGGGCCTCCTTTACTTTAACATGGAGGCGCTTGCTTGTCTTGGCAAGAGTAAGTGCTTCCATGTTTCAGTGTGGTGGTTCCTACTTAATCTACTTAATAGTCAAATGTTAACCCCACATTGTGCAGCATATGGACTATAGGCCATCACTGTTGCTAATATGCAACTCTGTTGAATACAAGTTTGGAATTGCACTTTAGCAATGGTGATGGAGTTTTGTCACCTACCACCAAGAATAAGAAGGTACTTACTTGGACAGGACTCTCAACGGTATGACTTCTTCTTCCATTTTATGTCTCTCTTTATGTTTTTTCTTATGCTTCCTTTTGGCTTTTAAGAGAGAACTGGCTTTTACATCTCCAGGATCTTTCTCCTCTTCAGTAGAGCAGAATTCTAAGTCTAAGAAAAACAAATTCTGTTAAAAAAACGGCTGTGGTTTTGATAGCTGCAAGCTTTCTGCAGTGATATGCTCTACCTCTGCTTTCCCTGGAGACCGTGGCAGCTGCTTCTTGGCTGCTGTCCTTTGGAGTGGCCTTCCTGGCTTTTGGTCTGGGAGGTAGGCCCTCGGCGTCCTCGCAGCTGCTTCTCTTCCTCTTCACTGCTTTGACTTCAGGTAAGGTGGGCACTTCAGTCCTTCCTCGTTTTTTCTTTTTCTTTGCCGGGTGTTTCTCAGGTTCAGGAGCCTCTCCTTCTGACCCCTCAGATGCAGTCCTTGATCTTTTAATTTTACAGACGCTGACACTGCTTGTGTCTGTGTCTGACTCTTTGGTCTGAATACTATCTTCCTTCTTTACTCTGCTTTTCTTCTTCCTTTTCTTCTTCTTTTCTTCTGTAACAATGTTGCCATTATTTTCCTTGAACTACAAGTGAACTACAAAGTTTTCAATGTTATACCAAGTACTTACCAGCTACTCTTAAAGCCGGAATGGGTTTATTTTTCACTGTTTTAGGAAATATGCCAGGTTTTCTCGGTGCTTCTTCTGGTGGGTTGTTAAGAAACTGAAATGATGACAATATTTAGTATTTGCTAATTTCTTTTTTTAAATTCTTTTAGGACCCAGACGTACCTCAATAGCTTTTGCTGCTTGCTCTTTTGTTTCAAACTCCACAAAGGCAAACCCCTTTGGATCACCAGTAGACTTGTAATGTGGTATACTTATATAAACCACATTGCCACACTTCCCAAATACTCTTTCAATCCAGCTATGAGTAACATTTTTGGGAAGTAGTTCCTGTGATAAATCGGAAACAGTATTCACTATGTAGCCTAAGCATTTTGAAAACCCTATGCCAATAAAATGGAAACAAAAAAACTGTGTCCCGTTTCTTTCATTATTCATTAGCTTACCACATACACCGTGCGTTCGTCCTCATCCTTTGGTCTCTCACCTAGAGGCTTTTTTCTCCTAATGCGGGTCCCTTCTAAGTCCAGCTTCAAAAAAAAAAGTAAATTAAGATGTAAATTTAAGGCTAAGTAGTTTATAAGTTAGTATGCGATTTTTAAAAACTTACCTCTACAACAGCTGAGCTTTTCAATGCTCTGGCTATTAATTTCCCATCTGTAGTCAACTTTTTCATTTTGTTAAAAGACACCAGAAGTGATATGTCCACATCTAGGTGAGATATAAAAAGTAATCTGGTTTAAAAAAAATATATATTTTTTGGTTTTTTGAACATAGGGTGTCCCTGTAGCCCCAGCTGGCCTGGAACTCAAAGATCCTAGCCTGCCCTTTGCCTCCCAAGTGCTGGTATGCCTCCCAGCACATAAAGATATATATGTGTGTCTGTGTGTGTGCCACCACACCTGGTCTTGTTTGCATATGTGGACTAGGCAGCAAATGTGTTTACCTGCTGAGCCATCTCGTCCCACTTGAAAATTTTTGTGCATGGTTGTTTGCTCCCATGTATGTGCACTAGAAAGGCATCAGCCTCCGCGTGGGTGCTGGGAACCAAACCCTTTCTGCTCATAACCACTGAGCCATTCACTAAAATGTCTGAAGCAGTCGTTAGCTGATCTGGACTTTTCAGATGCTGGCACTTACATCCATCTCTAGATTTTTCTATTTGCTCTCGAAGGAATCTATCCTTGTGAAGGTTTGCATCCCCAAACCAGAAGTCAACTTGCTTGGCAATATCTGCCAGAACCTGCTTAACCCGTGAGCGCTTCTTTTTTTCTACTTCCTTTCTCTTTTCAGCGCTTTCTTCCATAGTCTTTTCATTTTCGGTTTCCATCCTATAAGACAAATTATATCACCTTAAGTTAATATGGGAATGTTTGGATTATTAGCTTTTAATTGTGTACTTAATATTAAATGTACTTATATTGAGCTGTCATAGAACAAATCTCAAGACATACATGTTGGTGCTTACTGGGAAGGCATAAAATTCACTTTTTTTTTGGTCTTTTTGAGACAGGGTCTCCCTGTAGCCCCAGCTGGAACTCACTGTGTAGGCCAGGCAGGCCTTGAACTCACAGAGATCCACCTGCCTTTGCCTCCCAAGTGCTAGGACTACAGGTGTGCGCCACCACGCCTGGCAAAATTTACAATTTTATAAATGGAAAATCTAAAAGACAACTACTATTGGGCAAATAAAAATTATTCTTGACTTTGATTTTCAATATGCTAATTTCTACTTCCTGGATGCCAAACTCTGCAAACCCCTCCACCCCTCCTCCCTCAAGCTCCTTGGCACGCCTCTATTTACTTCTTTCAGCACCAGTGATGCTGGCCTTGGTGTTCCCAAGCCTCGCTTAGGATCTTCTGAATATGTTTTCTCAGAAGCAGCTGCTTTTATTCAAATGCTACATTGAGAGCTCTCCTATAACTACATATAAAATTACATTTCTCCTATTTTTTCTTCTTAGCACTAATCATTTACTATTCCAACATTCTTACTCTTTATCCTTTCTATAATTTAAGGAAATAAAAATGAGATTTTTGTTTTGTTTTGTTCACTACTTTCATGGTGCTGGACATGGGACCCAGCTAAAGCACTCTATATTTGAGCAATATTCCCAACCCCAGATTGTTTTGTTTAGAAATATAGGTATATCTCTGGAATACAATAATCACTCAAAAATTTCTTGAATGAAAGCTGGGTAAGTCAGGTGTGGAGACTCATACCTGTAATTCTAGCATTTGACAGGAAGAGGCAGAGGTTTAAGAGGTTGAGGTCAGGGGCTAGGCTTGCTAATGCAGCCTTTAATCCCAGCACTCAGAAAACAGAAGTAGAGAAAGGCAGGCAGATTGAGGCAATCTTTGTCTACATAATGAGTTCCAGGCCAGCCAGGGCTACATAGTGAGACACTGTCTCAGGAAAAAAAAGTTGGAGGTCTGTCAGCATGAATCATAAAGACATATCAAAAATTAATTAGGACAGAGCTATTTAAAATCTATTGAATGAATTGAATCAGTACATCTATCTTCATATATTTAAAAATGAGCATGAGTTAATATCAGGCTCAAGAAGATGTAAACTTATCTGTGATTAATCTGTCCTTAATAATTTCTTGAAATATGAGTTAGGATGCTAGGGATGTACAGACTGCTTACCTAGCATGAAGTAAGCCCAAGGTTCAATCCCCAGTACCACCTAAACTAGGTGTGGTGGCACACACCTGTAATCCAAGCACCGGGGAGGTAGAGGCAGGAGGATCAGAATGTGAGGGTCGTCTTCAGCTACATAAGGAGCTGGAGGCCAGCTTGGATTACTCAAGATGCTGTCTTCCCCGTTATACCTGGTTTAGAACAGCTATTAGCATGTAGGTTCTAGGTGATCAGAATGACACAAAAAATTGGGAGGCAAAACAGGCTTTTTACCTGAGAAAGTGACCTTAACAAATTTTAGCTTAAATGTATATTTACATTACATAATATAAAATATTTACATTTATTTGTGTATATATGCTTGTGCTCATGCATGCCACAGTACAGGTGTAGAAGTCAGAGCAAAACTTGTTGGCTCCTTCCTTCCAATGTATGGGTGCTGGAATTTAATTCAGGTGGTCTGGTATGGCTGCAGGTGCCGACCGGCTGAGTCATCTCACCAGACCCACATTTTAGTTTTTGGATAGGAAAGCCACACATCTGTTTTGGATGAAGGTTTAAAAGAAAAAGAAAGGGTCCGAGTAGGTTTGGGTAAACACCGAGGCTAAGATGAAGCTGCTGCACCTACTGCAGCTTCTGCTTGTGTCCTTTAAAACCAAGTAAGCACAGTATTAAAAAGGCCTGTCTCCTAAGCCGACTGCCTGCAGGCTCAATAGCCACTACAGCAATGCTGTTGACAGTGACAGATACGGATGTGTTTCAAAATGACACCCAGTATACCAAGCCCTTGATTTATCTCACCTCATATCTCAATAGGCATTCTTACTAGTCAACAGAATATTCTGGCATTTTCAGAGGTTTCAGTTGATCACTCAACTATCAAGTTTGAAGGTATACAAGCACATGGTATAACCAGAAGTCTCATCTCACATTCTCAGCTCAACTCGTGCTATTAGGCCTCCATTTCTAGCATCCTAGTGAAAGCAGGAAGTCATCAAGGAGTGGGCTGTGCCTGACTCTCCGGTCCATCTGACTTTCCAACATCATTTGCAGTCACTAAAATGTGTTCTTCAGATGGCTCTAAGCATTTTTTTCTGGATCCTTCTACTCTGCTTTACCTCCACATACTGTCTTTGACTAGACCCAGTCTCGGTTTTCCTCCTCAGTTATGCACTCATCCTTTCTGAGGGCCTTTAGTCAACTGTACACTTGACATCTGTACAACTGTACATCTGTACATTGCTTATTCTGAGAATATCTCGAACTTATAAAATTCGAAAATTTAAAAATTTTTTATTTTATGTGCACGTGTGTACTGCTTACATGTAAGTACACCCATGTTGTACAATGCCCATGGAGGGCAGACAAGGGCACTGGATCCCCTGGAACTGAACAGTTGCTGGCGGCCAGTGCTCTTAAACACTGAGCAATCTCTCTAGCCCCCAGTCTGCCTACTTCTATTGTTCCCTTATAATCAACTCTCTGGATAGAATTATGCAAATTTAAATACATAAATCAGGACAATTCTTGTATAAACTCTTCCGAAGGTTTCTTATCACATTCATTACACAAAATGGGTGCACCTTACATACATGCAGGCAAAACATGCAAAAATTTTTTTTGAAAGTCTAAAGATCTTACAGTAGTTTATTTAGGCACACCTGGGTATAATTTTAACTTCATCTCCACAATTCTTTCCAGCAGGCTCAGCATATCACCCCTAGATTGCTTAAATCTGTAAAGTTGCTCCCAGTCCCATTTCAAGGTTTTCGCTCTTTTTTTTTTTTTTTTTTTTTTTTTTTTTTTCTGTTTCTTTCCCTGACTCATCTATGTGGTTTACTTTCTCAGATCTCTTAATGTCCCTGTCTCAGAGGCCTTTTCTTTCATCCAATCTTAAAAAACAAAACAACAAAAAAAAACACCACTTGATGCCTACCTGAACTCTAGCCATCAACCTAAACTCTAGCTGCAAATCTTTTCTGTTTCTGTGTTCATCACTATCTGGAAATAATGTTTTATTATCTATTTACCCCACTAGAATTTAAATATTATAAAGGAAGGGGCTTTAATTTGATCACTATGTATTTGCGAAGTAACTAAATATACACAAAAGTACTGATTTGGTGGTGCACATCTTTAATTCTAGCACTCAGGAGGCGGAGTCAGGAGTTCTCTGAGTTTGAGGCCAGCCTGGTCTACTGTCGTGAGTTTCAGATCAGCCAGGGCTACATAGTAAGACCTTGTCTCAAAAAGGGTCACAGAAAACAAAGAAAAACCCATGGCCGGGCATGGTGGTGCACACCTTTGATTTCAGCACTGGGGAAGTAGAGGCTCACAGAGCTCTGTGACTTTGAAGCCAGCCTGGTCTACATAATGAGTTCCAGGCTAACCAGGGCTACAAAGTGAAAGCCTGTCTCAAAAAACAAATAAAAATAAACAAATACGCGAAATAAAGGAATCTGTAAGATATTAAGCATTTCAATTTTTTTTGTAGGTGGTAAGTTATAAATAAAATACAAATACAGACTTACAATGACCACTACAGCGAGCTCCACTATGAACTGTAAATTAGGGCAGCCCTCCAATTCCTGTCCTTGTCACAGCCCACCACTGAGGCACAGTGGGGTCTGCAGCCACGCCACACTGAATGCACCAGACTAGGCAGAACCAAAACCCAGAGTCACAATGGCCCCAGTTGATGCAGTGTTTGAGATTTAGCAGATATGGCATTGGCTATGAGGGTTCAAAGCCTCCTCCCATTTCCAGCTTGTAAACTCTGCTTCCTGCCCATACTTGAAGATGTAGAGTTCCAGTTGCCTCCTGCCGTCCACGCCTTCCCCACGCCTGGCTCATTCCTCGGGAACTTAAACTATCTTAAGTTGCTTTGGTCATGGTGCTTTAGTTCATCCATCCAGCATGCGCGAATGTTGGATACCCACCCAGCACCACCCAAAAACATCAAGTCAACAAGGCTTCAAATCACCACCATCCGGTACAGAGAGCTTAAAGAACACCACTTTCACTTGCCAAAACTCAACTACTCAAAATCTTGTCACTAAATGGCACTGCAGACCTAATCCTTTGTCAGCTCTAGTTGAAAGCTGAAATTAATGTTGATGTTGGTTGGGGCAATAACTAATTACATCTCACCTGGGCAACCTAATACTAATTTTTATAGTTTTTTTTTCTACAAGTTACACAGTTGTAAAATACCTCAAAGACAATGTAAGGTGAAGTAAGCTAGACAGATGTGGTTTGGTTTTGAGTCAGGGTCTCTCCATAGTCCCATCACACCTGACATCAAAGTCACTATTTTCCGTATAAAATTATACACAAAATATTTTCATAGATACATACATATTTTCTTAAGAAATTTGGCCATAATTTTCAGGCTAAAAAACCCGTGTACCAAAACAGAGGACCACAGTTGTCACAGCAGACTATTCAATGGTAATAAAATACTTTGTGGCCTGGGCTTTTCTCTAAATCTTCTAGTCTAAGATGCCTTATAGATCCCATTCAGTTTCGAAGGTTCAGACTAAAGGAGCCTTATTTTGCGGGCTTCGATCACCAGGTCTTTCCAAATTAACTGCCCCCTTACCATTTCCCTTAACTTCTCATCAACATACTCAGAACACTAATATTCATCACTTATATGGTAGTTTCCTTCTACAATCAGATTTCAGTTCTCTGACCAGTACAGAATATTGCAAAAACATACAAAACGCAACTTTAGAAGGCAAGTACTCCGTTCGTTGCCCAAGTTCAGCTTCCCCCTGCCAATCGCCAAATGCTCCTCACGACCACCGTACTTCTGCACAGTCGCCGCCAGGAGCCGGACGTGCCCCAAACCTCCTAACCCCAAGCCTGGTACGCCGCCACGCTGTCAAAACTGGAACTGCAGGGGCCGCCAGGGCTCTGTGCGTGCGCACAGAGAACCGAGCGCAGCCAATCGCTGTCAGTGAGAGAGGGCGGGGCGAGCGGGACCACGCAGGGTGGGTACGACACGGACCAAGAGGAATTCAGGCTTCACCCAGTCTGAGTGGCCCCTAGTAGGGCCACTTGGGACTTACTCCGCTCAGATTCCCAAATCCAGTGTCAACGCTTGCGGTCTTCTCGCTTTCGGTGCTTAGATCCTTGGAGTCGGCGTAAAACCGCGTCATCCGACGAGCGACACGCTTCTGGCGCCCAGCTTCAGAGTCTGATCCGGAAGTGGAGCGACCGACCCCGACGTCACAGGTGACGCTCCTGGGGGCGGGGTCTTGGGGAGCGCCGGGCAGCGCCGCACTGGACGCCGAATGCGGTTGGCGGGCGCGGAGAAGTTTCAGCTGCTGCCGGCGAGTACTGATGGCGTCACGCTCGTTAGCGGGAGAAATTCAAAAGTGGATTTTGCGCTACGAGGCAGGTTAAGTGGCTCATTTCTCGGGGCTCCCTTGGAGTGGAGGCTGGTTAGTGAGGGGGACTTGCGTGTTTCGGGGAGCACAGGCGAAAAACATAGAAGCGGTCAGGGCCCGGTCGAGGTGGCCGCCGCTCTCCGTGCGCCTGGTTGCCGCCTCGCAGGCCGAGGAGCGGACTCTTCGGTGATGGTTTGGGAGCTGACAAAGGATTAGGTCTGCAGTGCCATTTAGTGACAAGATTTTGAGTAGTTGAGTTTTGGCAAGTGAAAGTGGTGTTCTTTAAGCTCTCTGTACCGGATGGTGGTGATTTGAAGCCTTGTTGACTTGATGTTTTTGGGTGGTGCTGGGTGGGTATCGAACATTCGCGCATGCTAGATGGATGAGCTAAAACATCATGACCAAGGCAATTTAAGATAGTTTAAGTTCCTGAGGAATGAGCCAGGCATGGGGAAGGCGTGGACGGCAGCTGGAACTCTCACATCTTTCAAGTATGCTGGAAATGGGAGGAGGCTTTGAACCCTCATAGCCAACGCCATACCTGCTAAACCTCAAACACTGCTTCAACTGGGGCCAAGTAATACTCGGAGCTATGGGGGCCATTTTCAATCAAACCACCACCTTCCACTCTCTCCCTCCCGTATGTCCATGACCACATCATAATGTAGCCTACTTTTAAGTCTCCATAGTTTTTGGCTGGTTCTCCTCTCTGTGTGCAGCTCTCTTTGGTGGGTGCTTCACGGTTCTTCTCCATTGCCAAGCAGGCTTGACCCTCTCAGCTTCATGAAATGACCTGTCAGAGCCTCTTATCCTATCAAGGCCTTCTCTCATGGACCCCTCATGTCATATTGTTATAGTTTGGGATCCACAAATGCCACAAACAGGTCAGTCTAGAGAAAGAAAGTTTTATTACGGCTGTGCTACACTCTTTCCTAAAGGGTCCGAGAGTAGTGTAGCCCCAAGCCTAAGCACTCTGGCTCTTTTTATATTGATCATGTTGCTAGGCAAGCAAGCAGAATACAGAAGCCAATCATTGAGTGTGAGCAAACATTATCAAGGAAATTCATAAGAAAATACAATTCTCCATCTAAACCCTCCACCCAAACCAAAGTACACCTGCATGGAACTAGCTTCCTTCTCTTTCATAAACAGACATTATCAATCTTACTGTTATTCTACATCTTACATTGCCTTTATTGGTTTGTGGAGTTCTCTCTAGAGGGGGTTTTATATAGCAATTGTATCCTAGAAACCTGATCTTTTAAAGTTTCCAAAGCTTACAGGTAGAGAATCCCCTTAACAATTTCTATTCTATTAAGCAACTATTACTATTTTGCAGAAGCAAGCCAAGCATAACCTACAGAAGCCATAAATCAGCAGTTAGCAGGAGTACTCTAGGGTGCTTTGACCTGTTGCCAAGACAACCAGGGCTCAGCTGGTGTGTTCCCATACCCTGGTGCCAGCTGCCTGATAGTTTCAGAAACTATAGACAGCCTAAACTTTAACATGGCATAGTTATGGTCAAGTAGGTGCACTCTTACATTACCGTATGCTGCCTGGCCTCTGTGACTCTGAAAACTTGAACGAAGAACTGATGACCCCCTCACTCTTGCATCTTTCATGCCTCTAAAGCCATCACTGCAAGAATGACACTGCCAGGTTAAGGTGCCAGCTTGGAATTGACCTTGAGCCCCTTGGATCACTTTTACAGCTGATTTTATATGTTTCTAAGAACAGAAAACCCCTTAGGTCTTTTCCTTTCATTTCCATCATTGGAAGCTTAGCTGGGTGGGGTCTTGCCTGGAGGGTACTCTTTCCATTGTTCAAGTGCAGATCTGGAAGCTCCTCCTTCCTGTCTCTAATCCAAAATGAGGTGCTCTTCCAGGACACCCTTGACTGCCTTGGCTCCAACATTTAGCTTCCCAGGACAAACTGTACATTTTGTGTTTCTGCTGCACTTGCTATTTTCATTGTAGATCTGCATAATCACATTAATAACCATGCCATGCATTCAACATTCGGCTGCCTTGACGTTTTCCTCTGCCAAAAATTAGTCCATTACTTTTTGTTTGTTTTTTGAGACAGGGGTTCACTCTACAGGCTGGCTAGCCTGGAACTCACTATGTAGACCTGGCTGGCCTGGAACCCAGAGAGATTCACCCGAGTATCTGCCTCCTGAGAGCTGGATTTAAAGGCCTGTGTCACTTTTCTTGACAGTCCATTTTTGTTTGGTCCTGGGCAAGTTGTTAGTTAGGCTGCAGCCAGTTTTCCATTGGGCCATGTATTTTTATCCAGTAATGGGATAATGATGGTAGCTGCTGCAACATTTGAAAAGGTTTTTCGTTTTTATTTTATGGGTATGAATGTTCTGCCTGCATGTATATACGTGCACTATGTGAATGCCTGATGCCAGAGAAGATAGAAGATAGAAAGATAGAAGATAGAAAAGGATCGCTTGGAACTGGAGTTACAGAACAGTTGTGAGCCACCATGTAGGTGCTGGAAACTGAACCCAGATTCTTTGCAAGAGGCCATCTCTCTAGCCCCCCAAAATATTTTTTTTACCTGAGTGTGTGGTGGCACATGCCTATAATCCTACCTACTCTAGAGGCTGAGACAGGAGGATCATAAGTTGAAGGTCAGCTTGGACAGCTTGGCAAGGACACTGTTTCAAACAAACAAGCAAAAAAGTCTGGGGATGTGGAAGAACTCTTGCCTAGAGTATGTAAGGGCCTGTTGTCAATCTCTAGCACTGGAATAAAAAAAAGAAAGAAAAGATGTTTTCTTGTAGAAGTATTATTTAGCATCTCTTTGGTCCTAGAATGCTGTACTATATTGACTAAGGTATATAGTCAGCCTTCTGTTTCTGCCTCTGAATTTAACCAGCTGTAGACTGGAAATACTCAGAAAAAAAAATTATCAGTATTCCACATGTACACTTTTCTCTTGTCATCATTCCCTGAACAATATAGTTTAATGACTACTTATAATTTACAGTGTATTAGGTATAAATAATCTAGAGATGATTTAGTGCTTGTGGGAGGATGTGCATATGTACTCATGTTATATGCAGAAACTATGACATTTTATACGTGAACTTAAGTGGCCCCAGATCTTGGTGTATGGTACTGAAACTAGTCTCCCATAGATTCCCAATACCCAGGAACTACTGCAACAGGGAAGATTTAAAACACGGGATTATTTTGTGGTGGGCACAATGATTTAGAAAAAGAAAAAATGAATTTGGGTTGTAAGAAATCAAACATATTGAAGGAAAAAATCCATTTCTGATATATGACACCTAGAGAGGTTTGTAGATAATACGTTTTATGAATTTTATTTAGTTTTATCTTTAGCTTCCATTGTGTGATATCACTCAACTCTAGGTGGTTAGATAGTCTTGGTATTTGTTGGTTCCTGTCTCTAGTCAAGGTTTATTGAAGCCAGGTGTGGAGGTGTACACCCTAATCCCAGCACTCTGGAGGCAGAAGCAGGTGGATCTCTGTGAGATCAAGTCCAGCTTGGTCTACATAGCTAGTTCCAACTCTACATAGTGAAACCCTATCTCAAAAAAAAAAAAAAGGACTTAGTGAGAAAATTTTTATTTGATACTTATTCTTTTTATTAGGGTTGATTGAATATTCTGTGCTGTTTTTTATTTTAGAGGACATAAATGTTGAATAACTACCAATTATTTTCTGGACCTGACTGGTTTATAATTTGAGAAGAAACAATGGAAAGCCAAGAATTTATTGTAAGTCTTCCTGATTTTCCTTTTGTGTGCGTCTGTGTAAGACAGGGTCTCCTGTCCTCCAGGCTGATCTCCAGGCCGACCTTCAACTCTTAACATAGCTGAGTATCCCTTTGAACTTTTGATCCTCCTGCCTTCGTCTCCCAAGTGCTGGGATGAGAGACTTGCACCACCATGTCCTGTATATGTGGTGCTGGGCATCAAAACCAGAGTCTGATGCATGGTAGGCCAACAGTCTGCCAACTGAGCTACAGTGTGAGCCCTGAGGTCTTACTGATTGTCACATTTTTTTTTCCCCTTTTTGCTTCCTTACCTTCTTTTCTTTATTTCTTCTTTTCTCCCTCAAATATCCTATTAGCATTGCCAGATTTAGCAAAACAAAAAGCAGAAATATGATATAAATTAAATTTAATTTCAGATAGACAACGAATAGGATTCTAGTATAATTGTGTCCCAAATATTGCACTGTAGTTTGTCTGGCAAACCCATCTTTTACCCACTGTTCCTTTGTACTATAAAAATTCTTTGGAAGCGTGAGAGCAAGAAATAATTTTTCTTTCTTCAAGGCCTGTCAATAGTGACACTCTTAGCTGCACTGACACACAATTGGTTTTAAGACCTTTTTGTAGTCTAAAAGTTTTTTTTAAATCTTTAAATTTTTAAAAACTAAGACATTTTTATAATTTTATGCATTATGAGTGTTTTGCTTGCATGTATGTACACGCACCTATGTTGTAAAATATCCACAGAGGCCAGAAGAGGGAGTTGAATCCTCTGAATTGGAGTTATTAACTGCCCTGTGGGTGCTGGGAATTGAACCTAGGACCTCTGAAAGAGCAGCCAGTGCTTTTAACTGATGAGCCATCTCTCTAGGCCCTCTAAAAAAATATTGAGAACACTTAAGAACTTTTGTATGTAGCACTTTTATCTTTTGATATTACTTATATTTGACATTAAAACATCAAAAATATTACTCATTAAAAAGCAACTAATAAAAGTATTAGATATTAATTTAAAGTATATATTTAATGGAAAGTAGTTGATTTTTCCAAAGCAGTAACAACAGCAGGAAAAAGCATTGAGAAAAGTAGCAATGTTAGATATTTTGTACCATTTTTTTTTTAAATTTTATGTATGTGTATGAGTGTATTGCCTGCAGGTATGTGAGTACACCCATGTTGTACAATGCCATGGAGGTCAGAAGAGGGCTTCGGATTCTCCTGGAACTAGAGTTAAGGATGGTTCATAGCTGCCATATGGGTGCTGGGAAAAGAACCTGGATCCTCTGCAAGAGCAGTCAGTGCTCTTAACTGCTGAGCCATCTCTCCAGCCCCTATTTTGTACATTTAAAAAATGTTTTATTTTATGAGTATGAGTGTTTTGCCTGCATGTAAGTGCATCCAGGTTGTGCAAGGCCTGTCGAGGCCAGAAGAGGGCCTCTGGTCCTCTGGAACTGGAGTTATAGGTCATTGTTAGCCACCCTGTGGTGGTGGGAACTGAACCTGGGGTGCCTGGAAGAGCAGCCGGTGCTCAGTGCTCTTGACAGGACCTCAATATGCAGCCCTGGCTGGCCTCGAACTTACTATGTACACCAGGCTGGCCTTGAACTCAGGTCTGCTTTCCTCTGACTCCTGAGTGCTGAGATTAAAGGCATGGTCACCACACCTATCAAAAATTTTATTTTTATGTGTATGAGTGAGCTTAAAAAGTTTTATGTATATGAGTATTTTGCCTGCATATATGTAAGTGCCCCTGTATGTGCAATGCCTGCAGAGACCTGGAGGGCATTAGGTCCTCTAGAGTTGGAGTTACTGATGGTTGTTAGTTGCCATGTGGGTGATGGGACCAAACCGAATACTGGGATTAAAGGTATGTGCCACCATGCCTGGCAAGATGTCTATTTTTATATGATATATAAAATAGACAATATTGAGTGTATATATACATATATATATATGTAAACTATTTCTTTTGTACTTTTGGAAATAAGGTTCTATATACTCATCAAAAGATGAAGAAGTCAAAAGTGTGGCAAGATGGAATTCTGAAAATCACTCGTTCAGGAAACAAGGTAAGTGCCAGGCAGTTGACTACAGAGTATAACAGCTATGATCCTGCCTTTTGGTTGAGCATTAAGAAAACTCTGTAGATAATAAAATGCTAATTATGGTTATGTACTACCATGATGTGTAAAAAAGTTTTCAAATCATTTCCATATCACAGTGGTTAATCTATACATTATGAAATGAGTATATTTAATTTTTGATTTAAATGAGACTTACATTGTCACGCACTTACTATTGGCTGGACATGATGCTTTCTTTGTATCATCTTTTGTACAATTCTGGTACAAATTAGGTATTTTATCTCTGCTTCACTGATGATAGCACTGAGGGCCGCAGGTGTCGTAGCATACTCTGGAGACTCACAGGTAGAAAGTGGATGAGTCGCTTAGACTCTTTGGCTCCAGATCCATGTTCTAGCTATGTATGTCTCTTTTAATATTACTGACATATTACAAGAGCCTTATTATAGTTGAGTCATTGATGTTACTTAGGACATATTGTCTACACAGTAATGATATCTGTGGTCTCCTATTGAATTCATACTCTTCGGTGAGGCATTTAATGATCTCTGTATTCTGTCCTCTTTCTACTTATCTGTCGTTGTGAAGCTGTTATTGAGGGAAGCTTTTCAGTAGGGAAGAGATTATTTACTACATTAAAGAACAGTCAATTTGTTAAAAATAAAGTATTTAATTTGTTAAAATAAAAGCTAGCTTTGCTTTAAGCCTTCAAGTTCAACTTGTGTTAGCATATTAACTTTATAAACCCATGATTTTCTTTTATTTTTTGGACTTTTTAAAATATTTTATTTATTATTATTTTTTTAATTTTATGTGTATGTGTGTATTGCCTGCATGTAGTAAGTGCACCTGTGTTGTGCAAAGCTTGAGGAGGACAGAAGAGGCTGTCAGATACCCTGGAACTGGAGTTACAGTTGTTAGCTGCCATGTGGGTGCTGGGATTCGAACCCGGGTCTTCTGTAAGAATAGCCAGTGTTCTTAACTGCTGAGCCATCTCTCCAGAGATGTTTTTTGGTCTTTTTGAGACAGGGTTTCCCTGTAGCCCCAGCTGGCCTGGACCTCACTGTGTAGACCAGGCCTTGAATTCACCAAGCTCCACCTGCCTCTGCCTCCCAAGTGCTGGAATTAAAAGCATGCACCACCAGGCCCTGCTTAAACCTATGTATTTTAACAATTACTTTCAGTGGGGGTCTTAGGTTAATGTCCAGTAAACTTAAGTTAAAAAAAGGCAGAATGCTTTTTTTTTTTTTGGTCTTTCTGAGACAGGGTCTCCCTGTAGCCTCAGCTGGCCTGGAACTTACTATGTAGACCAGGGTGGCCTTGAACTCATAGAGATCCACCCGCCTCTGTCTCCTGAGTGCTGGGATTAAAGGTGTGTGCCACCGTGCCCGGCCATGAAAAAGGTAGAATGCTTTTAAATAACCAGAATATTAACAAATAGAGCTGGGTGGTGTGGTGGCTGAGGAGGGAGAATCACAAGTTCAATGCAGTTTGGCCTACATGGTAAGACCCTATAGCAAAACAAATAATATAATTTACCCTAAACATCTAAAATTTATAAATTTAATATATTTGGTTTTCTTTAGTATTTTAGTTGCTTGAACAAATACTTCCTGTCTTTGTATTAATTATAATAAATTAAGCTTATGAATATAGCTAATCTCAATGCTATTGAAATATTTTCATACTGTTTATAAATCTAATAAAATTTACCTTTCCTTTTGAGTTAAAAAGGGAGTGGTGTTGTAATCCTGTCTATAATTCCAGCACATGGGAGGTGGAGGCAGGATGATCCAGAATTCAAGGCTACCTATTTCAAAACCAGATTGTACTTGTCTTTTTAAAAAATTAATTCATTTCTTTTTATTTTATATGTATGAATGTTTTGCCTTTATGCAAATGCATCTGTGTCATGCAATACCCAGGAAGGCTAGAAGAGTGCATTAGATTCCCTGGAACTGTTTATAGATAGTTGTTAGCTGCTGTGTGAGTGCTGGGAAGTTCTCTGCACTCCATCCAGTGCTCTTAACCATTGACCCATCTCTTTAGGCCCCTATATCTGTTTAAAAAAAAAAAAAAAAGCAACAAAAAGTTGAATACATGAAAAAAGAATTGACTGGGCATTGTAACTCATGCCTGTAGTCCCAGCACTTGGGAGGCTGAGATATAAGAATTGCCACAGTTAAGAAGCCAGCTAGGGGTATATAATGAATTCCAGGTCAGCCTGGGCTAGTCTGGGGTGGGCGGGGTGAGTTGAAGAGAAATTGATTTAGGGAGAGAAATTAGGGAGATAGCTCAGTGTCTTAGAATGCTAGAACACTTGCCTAGAAGGTTCAATGCCCACTACTGAAGGAAAAAAATTTCCAAAATGAAACTCTTAATTATATATAGTTAATCTGTGAGAGAGATTTAAAATGTAAACGGTCTGTAATACTACCATTCCCTTTTATTTCTTTTTAAAGTTTTAGTATTTTATGTGTATGCGTGTATTGCCTACATGTAGGTAAGTGCACCTGTGTCATGCAATGCCTGCGGAGGCAGAAGAGGCTGTCAGATCCCCTGGAACTGGAATTACGGAAAGTTGTTAGCTGCCATGTGGGTGCTAGGATTTGAACCCGAGTCTTCTGCAAGAACAAGCAGTGTTCTTAACTGCTGAACCATCTCTCCAGCCCCACCATTCCCTTTTCAAATGAAAAGTCACTTTATGAAAGTAAAAACTAACACAAATATCAGATTATGATACCTACCATTATCTTAATTAAAATTTTTGATATTGTTGGTTTGAATTACTTCATTGTCTTGATACCTAGTTATAAATGTTCCAGGAGATTAAAGTACCTTTCTCTTGAGGAAAGAAAGTGTTGTTATTGCAGCTAAATTTGTTAAGATATTGTGAACTGAGGTTGATAGTGTTTGGAGTTGTGACTTCAGACCTAGGTCTGTTTGCTAATTATGGGATAACTACCAGCATCATTAAGGGACATATTGAGCCTTTAGTTGAGTTGAGAATCTTCAAGTCTCTGCCATTTGAAAGGAGTAGCCATATACTTCGTATCCATATGTTGAAGTTGTGTCACTAATCTATTTTTTTTTCTATTTGAAATAACTGTTTAGTCCTGTTCACATCCATATTTTTAAAGTACTTGTCTTAGTCTGATTATTCACTATTTGATACCATCAGACATTTTTTAAATTTATGTTCTTCCTCTTTGTTTAGAGCCAAAGCCTTAAGAACCTTATTAACACATACTATATGGCTCAGTGTGGTATTTCTATACAATCATACATTGTACATTGATTGTATCCAACAGTTTTTTTTTTTGTTTTTTTTTTTAACCTCCTCATACCCTCTCAATTAATTAGACATTCAGGTTGGCTTTTTTTGGTTTCCACATGAGAGAGTGCACGTGGTACTTGTTTTTCTGTGTCTGGCTTATTTTACTTAACATAATGTTCCCCAGTTCCATTCATTTTGCTGCTGATGACTTTTTATAATTGAATACTATTCTGTTGCATGTGTATATATGCCACAATTTTTTTTAGCCCTGTGTTGATAGTTAGCTAGACTGATTGTATATCTTACCTCTTGTGCCATAGTAAACATGGGTATGCAGGTATTTCTTTGGTATACTGATTTCATTTCCTTTTGTATATATACCAGGGAGTAGGAGAGTTCAAGGCCAGCCTGGTGTATATAGTGAGTTCTAGGCCAGCTGGGGCTACAGGGAGACCCTGTCTCAAAAAGACTGAAAAAAAAAAAAAGGAAAAGCATTTCTGTATTTTGAGGACTTTTCACAGTATTTCTTTACTAGTGAGTACTAATGTCATTGACATTAAATAAGATTTCCTTTTTCTCTATATCTTCTTTGAGAAAGATCGCTAGCCTCTCAGTACCTGTTCTAGGAGACATAGCCAGGAACAAAACCAAAATATCTCTTACTTTATGGAAATAATATGGAGGAGACAGAACAGTAAACTAAGTGAATATGTATGTCTAGTGGGAAGGCAAATTGGAAAGAAGAAAATGGTGCAGTTGTGTGAGCAAGGGCAGACATAGACCTGACGGACATGTAAATCTCACGGGTTATTGTAAGGACATCTAGGAGGGGAGTTGCTGGTTCCTGTGTTGGTTCATGTAGATCATATTTAATTCTTTGAGGAATTGCTGCACTGTTTTCCAAAATGATGGAAATACCTTTAAAATTATTTTTTGGTTTTAATTTTATGTGTATTACCTGCATATATGTAAGTGCGTCATGTGCATGTAGTGCCTGTAGAGGCCAGAAGAAAGCATCAGATCCACTAGAACAGGAGTTACAGATGGTTATTAGCAGCCAAGTAGGTGTTGGGAACCAAACCCATATCCTTTGCAAAAGCAGTCTAGGCTTTTAACCATTGAGCCATCTCTCCAGCCTCCCTCACCTCCACCCCTCCCCCTTATATTTTAAGACAGGATCTATGTTGACCTGGTTGGTCTGGAATGTGGATCAAGCTGATCTTAAACTCATAGAGATCTGCTTGCCTTTCCTCCCAAGTGCTGGGATTAAAGGCATATGCTACCATGCCTGGCCCAGAAATTCCAATATTAAGAGGGTTTGTAGAGAAATTTCTTTGGGAAATGCTAGAGGCACAGATGAAAGATATAAAATGATAACTGCCTTAGCTTCGTTTCCTCTAACCCTCATATCCAACAAAAATTATTCATTATACCCTGTAAGTAGTTATCTTAATTCCCTGAGCCAACATATGTTATTTTAAAGATTTATTTTTATTTTATGTGTATGAGTGTTTTGCCTACAGGTATGTATGTGTACCATGTGTGTACCTGGTGCTGGCAGAAGCCAGAATAAAGCGTCAGATTCTCTGAAACTGGAGCTAAAGATGGTTGTGATCCTCCACATGGGTGCTGGGAACCAAACCCAGGTCCTCTGCAAGAGCAGTCAGTACTCTTAGTTGCCAAGCCATTGCTCCAGCTCTAAGCATTGATCATCTAATTGATCCTCGCACCAGTCATGCTATTACAACAGTCTCTTAATGAGCTTGTTGGGGATTTTGTTTTGTTTTGTTTTTTTTGGTTTCTTTTTAGTATAAAGTAGACCTTTTTTTTTAAGGTGACATTTCATCTGAGTGTCTTTTTTATATATTTTATTCTTTTTATTTTATGTGTACGCACGTATTGCCTGCATGTAGGTAAGTGCACCAGTGTCGCACAATGTCCATGGAGGACAAAAGAGGCTGTCGGATCCCCTGGAACTGGAGTTACGGTTGTTGTTAGCTGCTATGTGGGTGCTGGGATTCAAACCTGGGTCTTCTGCAAGAGCAGCCAGTGTCCTTAACCTCTGAGCCATCTCTCCAGCCCCAGCAGATTTTTTTTTTTTCTGACACAGATGTAAGTGTTGGAGTTAATAGAGGTGCTCAGGGAAAGGATAGTACACAGCCAAGTATGGATGTGAGCGTCTCAAGAATCACTTATCTTGTTCTGTCTATTGTATTCCAGTTGTTTTCTTCCCAGTTACACAGAAGGATCTTCCTGATGGAAATTAGGTTCTTGAATTTTTTTTCTTTTTTCTTGAGACAGAGTCTATTTATGTAGCCTTGGCTGGCCTGGTACTTGCTGTGTAGACCAGGCTGATGCACCTGCCTCTGCCTCCCAAGTGCTAAGATAAGGCATGGGCCACCACTCCTGGCTAAGAATTTGTGTATGTATGTATGTTTGTATGTATGTGCGCTCACGTGTATGAAGGCCAGAAGTCCATGTCAGGTCTCTCCTATCCGTCTTTTCCTTGTTTTCAAGACAGTCTTTCATGGAACCCAGAGCTCACCAGTTGGACTCTCTGGCAAGGGAGCTCCAGGGAACCCTTTTGTCTCTTCACCCTCGCATTAGTTACAGACTGGAGTCACCACACCTGACTTTTACATGGTGGTAGAGTTTGTGCTTGTGCACTTTACCATCTGAGCTATCTTCCAAGCCCCTCAGTTCTTAAATTTCTTACACCACATCTCTGCTCTTCTGCTGGGTAGTTGCACGATAAACATTTGAAATACAAGTATTTTCAAATACAAGTTACACAAAGTGTGTAATCCTTTTATTATTTGATTTACTTACATAATATTTGATTTGCTATTGAAGATTCTAAGAAAATTATTTTCTGTTATTTAAGAAAATATTTATCTTGTTCTTATACTAGGCAACTTTGTATGATGACAGCGGAGCATGTTTGGAAAGTCTGTTTCTTAAGTGCTTTCAGGTATTTTAATGTGCTTAACTTATTTTCTTATAATTTTAAAGTTTGTTTAAATACTTAATGTTGCTAATAGTTTAGGCATGGTACTAATTATAGGCATAGCTCATAATTATACCTAGTATTTGTTGTGCATTTATCATAGCTAGACCTTGTGCTAACAGCTGTGAGATACTGTTTAATTTCAACTTTCTTTTTTTTTTTTTTTTTTTTTTTTTTTTTTTTTTTTTTTTAGTTTCTTTTTGAAAAGAGGACGATAAATCTTTCACTGTGATATATCAAAATAA